TCAATATTGACCCTCCTGACACTGTTTAAGACAGAAACAAAGATCTATCAATCTAAAGCAGGAGAGACATTCAAAACAAAAAAGTTGTTTAATCCTAAACGTGTCTTTCAAAACATCTTTTTTCTTAGACTCCCCAAATCTCCAAGTCACCTCAATCTTTGACTTGAATAGTGTACCCAACTGATTCTCAATGACCATTGTCCTTGCCTTTTTCAGTTCTCTCTACCACCAACCCCATGTGAAATCTTATGTCCTGCTCACTTCTTAATTGCCTCTCACTTCTCTACTCTCATCATCAATTAATTCGGAACACTGCCCTCTATGACTGCATTTCCATTTTGACAAAAGCTATTAGTGACAGCTCCAATGTTTACTTGCTATAAATTTTCAAAGAAGTATTTCAAACCAAAGAGCTTGTATTTCTTCTCTATTAATTCATTGTACTGATTTTCTGTTACTACACAACAAACTATTCGAAAGCTTAGTTGCTTAAAACAATGATTTATTATTATTTCTAATGGTTCTGTCAGTTGACTGGGCCCACCTAGGTTGTTATTCCTTCTAGCCTTACGTATGGTCATGGTTACACAGTGACTGAGACCAGAGTTATCTAAGACCTGACTGGACTTTAATGTCTAACATGGCTTCCACACTCACATTTCTGGGGTCTCAACTGTAAGAACTGGAAAAACTAAGAGCTGTATGTCTCTCTGCAGATGACCTCCCTACATGACTAGCTTGAGTTCATCATAGCACGGCAGTTTCAGAGTGATACCTGGCTTCTTACCAGAGTGCATGTACCTTCCAAGAGTCCAAGGTATAAGCTGCCAGTCTTCTTCTGATCTAGCCTCAGAAGGCATGCAGTGCAGCACCACATCTGTCATATTCACAGGGAGAGGCTATAAATGGGTATAAATATTGAGAGATATCGTTCCTTGGGGGATCATATTTGGATAAACGGATGGTCCATACTCATCAAATATGTTACTTCACTCATCAAATACAAGACAAAGCAGGATATACAAGCTAGGGATATGATAAATCAAAGAATAAGGTAGTGAAAACATCCCTGAAGTTGCCAGGGTAGTTACAAAAATTTTCATTGTATCTAAAAGCTTCCACTTTAAATGAGCCTGTGGATTACTTCATCCTCATTGATGTTGGAGTAAATCAATTTAGTATCTCATTTTTAATTACTAAAGAACTCAAACAGTTGTGGCACTATGTATATCTTTTAAGGAACTTGAACTCTAATGGAATTGGTGTGAAAATATGTATATACATATATATATACACATATACACACACACACACATTGCTATCTTCTGGCAAAAAATGGTAAAAGTCATATCCATATCAGGCTGATGGAAATATAAATTACTCTGCCTCCTTTGAGAAAAAATGACATTACGCTTGACTCAGTCATTTTACCTTTGGATTTCAGATAATTCAGAACATAAACTGAGCTACAGAAAAACCTTTTCACACAAAGAAGCTTACCCAAGATTATTTATAAAGGTAAGAAAGCTATAAGCAATCTAAATGTCTAAACACAGAAGAACAGATAACCAAATTATAGTATATACCAAGGATAAAATTTTATGCAGTCAAGTAAAATTATGTTCCTGATTATTTTATGATAGAAAAAAAATAATAGTCAACATTTATTGAGCACTTGCTACAACGCCGGGTACATACAGTTTATGTGGATGCTTAATATACATTATATCATTTGATTCTCCCAATAGCTCTCAGAAGTACATACTATTATTATATTCATCTTATGGATAAGGAAACTAAGATTTAAAGAAGCTGAATCACATCCTCAAGTTTGAAAAAGTAGAAGAATCAAGATTTGAACCCACACACTCAGCCTTTACAGCCCACATTCCTACATTTATGACCATCTTGCTATTCCACTTCTGATGAATAGCATTAAGTAAAAACAAATACTACACACACATACAGACACACACAAACACACATCACTTTAGAGAGACTACATATGCAACTAGTTTACAAAATAAAATATGCAGGAATCAGTAAGATTGGAAGGATATAAACTAAAATACTGATAATCATTGCCTTTAAGTGGTGATACTCTGGGTTGTTTCCTCTTCTACTTCATGTTTTTAAAACCTTCTAGAATTAAAAAGGTGTTTTACTCCTATTGGGAGGAGGAAGGATTTTTTAAATCCTGAGTTACTTTTCCTTTGTGTGCAGATAAGAAGCCCATTTATGCGCATATCTATCAAAAATAGCCTGGGGATATAAAGCCTTAAAGAGGCTAGTAAAGTTGGAATTAAGAAAGAAACCTGGCGAAGTCCTGAAAAGTTAGAAGACAAATGCTGCTTTTCACTTGATAAGTGTTAAGTAGAGAAAATATTCTTTCCTGAATAAAGGTGGGTTAAGTAAAGTTGTGTAGCAGAAGGAAGACTCCAGGCACTTTGTCACTGGTCAAACTGCAGTGAAAATCCCAGAGTTCCCAAGAGTTCCACAGAGTCAGATTTACCAATGCCTGGAAAGAACCAAGGCAGCAGAATCATTTCTAATATTAATTGTGGATTATACACAAGGTATGCAACTGGACCTAGGTTTCTTGTTTATCATGACTGATTGATTACTCCATTGATTGATTGATTGAACTCTCGCGCTAAGCTATACATAGATTTGGCAATATAATAATTGATTAAAATATTTATGTTCACTGTTTAATTATTAAAAATTCATTTCTAAGTAATGATATATTGAATGGAAAACAGGCAGGTCTTCATTTTCTCATTGATTGCATCTGATCTTTTAGAATCCAAGACTCCAGCCTTGTGGTAGTTTCTCTGAACAATCAACAAAGTAACTAGGAGAAAATAAATAGGTCTGTGGATATTAGCCTTCCTTACAAACCCAAATCTCTGTTTACAGCAGATGTCGCAGAACTGTAAGTAACATGAGTTGAAAGTTTTCTTCCACTGTTCTTCCCTGTGTTTTCATCCCCTTCTTTGGCAGCTACAAGAGGTGACAACAAGGGGGGAGGGAAAACTGAATAATAAATAAGCAAGAACTCATTCTAATCATTAGATTTCCCCTTTCTTTTCAAATGATTTTTTGAAATATCAACCAAACGAAAACCCTCGCTTTGTAATTTCACATAAACTTGATTTACTTGATTAATGATAGGTGGGATAGTGTGAGAAAATGTATATATACAGAGAAGGCCTCATCAGAGGAATAAAAGGAGACTGAAGAGCCTTCATTTCCTGTGGCTTGTCTCTAATCTTGTACTTCTTCTATGAATAGCTATATAAATTGAATTTCTTTGGTTCCCTAATTAATTTGGAAAGCCAGTTCTAAAACCTTTAGTCCATATAGAAATACGGTACATTCTATGATGTACCATAGTACGGTACACATTCACAAAATTGTGGACCCAGGTTAGCATGCCTTATACACTGGCCTCTTGCACAATAAACAAAGCTAATAACTTTTTTCTGGTCTCTGTTTCATCCAGACCAACTTCGCTATATAGATACCTCATAAAAAGTTAGAAAGGTTAATAATCTCTGTTGAATAAATAATATTCTAACTGTACCAACTGCTTACGATTTATACCTATTTTACATAAATGTTTGATTTTAAATATAACCACCAAGTTGGGTTCCCTTAGTGCCTTCCTCAGGGATACAGACATGGCCTATAGTAGTTTCTCAGGCTTGTCTCTCTAGTATCTCTGGGGCTGGTGCCAAAATCAAATTAACACTAAGAAATTTGAATTTTAGAGATAAAAGGGAACTTGGACATCAATAATATCTGCATCATAATGACACTGTTGCTCTTCTGAGCTGAAGAAGTTAAATTACTATTGCTTTTCTCATAGTTTGTACATGATTGTGATCATTCTTAGTAAATTACAGCAAGTATCTTCCATTCCTGGCAGACAAGTTCCTTCACTATTCTCTTATTCATCATCCCCTTCCAGCCTTTTTTCTCCTCTCCAACAAAGAATACCACTATTACTTCTTGACACAGCTATAGGCCTTTTTTCTTTTCAATTCTATCCTACAACAAATTGCCCCTTCTCTGAACTCTACAGTATTCCATACCCATACCATTTGTTACAGGTTGAATTGTGTCTTCCAAAAAGATATGCTGAAATCCTAACCGCTGGTATCTTTCAATGTGACCTTATTTTGAAATAGGATCTTTGTAGATATTATCAAGTCAAGAGGAGGTAATTAGTGGGCTCTAATCCAATGATTGGAGTCCTTAAAAAGGCAGAAGAAGAGACACACAGGGAGAATGTCATGTGATGATCAAGACAGAAATTGTAGTGATGCATCTACAAGCCAAGGAATGCCAAGGTTTTCTGGCCATCACCATAAACTAGGACAGAGAGGCAGGAACAGATTTTTCCTTAAAGCCTCACAGAAGGAATGGACACTGCTGTTACTCTGATTTTGGATTTCTGGCCTTCTGGCCTTCTGAACTGTGAGAGAAAAAAATTTCTTATTGTGTCAAGTCATCCAGTTTGTAATATTTTGTTATGACAACCCTAAAGACTTATACACCATCCTTTTGTAATCCTTTCTTTCCATGTGTTGCTTGATTACCTATTTCTAAGTATATGTCTATATGCTTAACTTGTAAAAAACACCCCTAGGGTAGAAACCACATCTTAATTTTTATTCTTATACAGAGATCAACCCTTATTTATGTGAGATTTACCAAATAAAATGTAAGACACCCAGTTAATTGAGCATTCTTATTTTTATTTGCTAAATCAGGCAACTCAAATTTATGTACAAAATAGATGATTAATAAATACCTAAGAAATAAATGTATGGATCCCTAGTTCATCGATTTTATGAATTTTTTTTTTTAGTATACAATCAATCTTTAATAGAGCCACTGAGATATTTTAACTTATATCCTATTAAACTCTGGTGACCCACACATGGAATAATTGAGAAAGATATTATAAGTATACATCAAAAGTAGAGAAGACCAAAAAGGGCTCCTGTCGTGAATGGCACATGGAGGGCAGCTTGGTTGCTCTTTGTGTGGAATTGACATGGAGATTTCGAAAGCATAATTTTTTGGTACTTGGGCAGCTAGTGATCATTGCTCCTGGTGCCCCAATAAGAAGGAAAAAAAAAGAAGGAAAGAAAAAAAAAGTAGAGAAGAATAAAAAAGAACAGGTAGAGTGGTCAAATATAAAGGTACATGCCATTATAGGGACAGAAACTAAAGAGAATGGTACTCTGTCATTTGAGAAAATTGAGTTGAAAGATTCATGATCAAAATCTAGAATCTTAACAGACACCTGAATGAAATGATTAGTTCCCCCAAATCTAGAAAGACTAGGATGGGGATAAAGCTAATATTAATTGATTACTTTTCTAAGTGTCAGTTTTTTTCATACTTTAATTTATTTCAGTTTACATCAGTTGTCTTAGGAGGTGGATATTAATAGCCTTGCACCGTAGAGATAAGAATATGAAGGTTTAGAGGGCAGGGTCAGAACTCAAACCCAAGATCTAAGTCCTATGTGTTCACTCCACACTCCTAGATTGCTTCTCTAAAACTTTGTTAGTGAGCAGCGCAAATTAGAAAGAATTAAAGGAAGCGCACGTTCACTAAGTAGAAAATGGTATTTAAAAATCCACTGATACAAAAAGAAGCCTGGCAGCAAATACACAGTGATGAAAAACTTATGGACAAATTTACAAGTAAAAAAGCCATTAATGGAAGAGGATTCACATAAAACTCACCTTTGAAATCAACATCGAAGCTACAAGAGCTTTTAGAACACCTCGTTAAATTAAAAAAGAGTCTATTTTAGGATGATCCTACCATATTCTTGTGGAAATGAAGGACTTAAAACAAAATCCACTTATTTCAATACCATTTAATATTCTTGGGAACTACAAAAGTTGAATTGCATGTTGTAAAGGATCCTGAGCTTGTAATCATGGTATCTGGGGCTGTCTAGTTCTGTTACCTATTTGTTGTGTGACTGCTGAATTAAATCAAAAGCAATCTTGGCTCAGTTTCCTCCTTTGGAAATGATAGGCTGATTTTTAAATTCCTATCCAGAGAGCACTTAGGGCCTGCTATGTGCTGCTTTTATTGCATAATTACAGCAATACTTTTCAACTGGTATAAGGTTTACCTCATATTTTAAATAGAATGCTTTTTCTCTTTATGTCTTTGTACTTTATTCATTTAGTCAATTAATTGATCTCCTACTCTATGTCAGACACTGTGCAAGGCTCTGGAATATAATTGACAAACAAAAAATACAAGGTCCATACTTTTATTAAGATTACAGAGCAAAAAGAATAATTAGAATGATCAGAACTGTAAAGGCAGATGTCATTGTCAAATAATAAATAAATAATTATAAATGTAATAAATATTTTGAAGGACAATTATAGAGTCCTAAGAAACTATTTAACAGTTTGATTTAATTTCAGTCTCTGGGATCAAGGAAAACTTCCCTGAGCAAATTAACATCTAAATTCAAACATGAAGGGTGAGGAGAATTTGGCAGTTAAAGAGGCTGGGAGAAAGCATGACTGGGAGAGGGAATCTCAACTGTAAAGGCTCTGATTCAGGGAGAAGCTGGATACTAAGAGGAAACAAAAGGTCACGAGAGATGGAGCATAGTCAGTGAGAATACAATAGCTTGAGACGTGGCTGGACAGTCAAAAAGGGAGAGACTGGAATGCAGTAAGTCGAGTTTAAATGTAGAGAATGAACAAAATTTACATGCTTATTGAAAAATACTTTCTTTGCTCTTTGGAATAGATCACCAAAAGACGTGAAGAAATAACAGGAAAACAATTTTTTTCTGCCTCTTTTTAGATAGGTATTTTTATGATTCGATTTTATCTCCACTATGTGCTTATTTAAAAATTTTGTTGGTTGTCCTAGAGTTTACAATATACATATTTAATAATATTACAGTTTCACGTGTAGTGTAAGGACCTTACACCATTATACTCCTAAATCCTTCCTCCTACCCTTTGTGCTATTATGGTCAAACATTTTACTTTTGCATATGATATAAACATACAATACACTGATACTGCTCTTTTTCTTCAGGGAGCAATTAAAATTAAGAAAAAACTAAATTTACTCTTATCTTCATCTATGGTATTCCCTGTGATCTTTATTTCTTTGTGTAAGTCTAAGTTTCTCTATATTATATTTCTCTCCTTGAAGCATTTCCTTTGGTATTTCTTGTAGACTGCTGCAATAAATTTTCTCATTTTTTGCTCATCTGAAAAATGTTTTTCCTTCATTTTTGAAATATATCTTCCCTAGGTTTAAAAATCTAGGTTTGTAATTTGTTTCTGTGTTTTTCTGTTAGCATGTAAAAGATGTCACTCGATTATTTTCTAGATTAATATTTGTTTAAAGCTAATTCTACTACAATTCTTATCTTTGTTCTTTTGTATATAATACATCTTTTTGCTCTGAGTACTTTCTCATTATCTTGATTTTCAGCAGTTTAAATGAAAACTGTCTAGGTATGTTTTGAGGGGAGAGTATTTGTTTTGCTTAGTGTTTTCTGAGCCCCTTGGATCTGCAATTTTGTGCCTTTCATTGATTTTTGAATATTCTTGTCCACTACATCTCTCAGTGTTTCTTCTGCCCTATACACTGTCTACAATTTATCTCATCCTGTTTTTATGTTTTTGATCTTATCACACATGAAAATTTATAAACTATAAGATTATTAGTGACCTACATGTTGTAAATCCCCGAGTTAATATTTAGTTCTCATCTTATTTGACATGTCAATGGTTCTTGACACAGCAGACCTTTCCTGTCCCCTTAAGATAGTTTCTTATTTGCCTCCGGGACATTACACTCTCTGGGTTCATCTTTGTTGGGGAACTTTCTCACCTTTCAGTCTCTAAAGGTTACTGTATAAGGGGAATCACTCCTTGGACTTTTTCTATCTACAATCACTCCTTTGATCTCATCCAGTCTCAAGGCTTTATACATCATCGCTAAATTGATGACCTCAGATTTATACCTCCAAATTTATAACTTGGAGAACTTTCTTCTGAATTCCAGATTTGCATGTATGACTTCCTAATGATATCCCCATTACTTGGGATTTCTCAAAGACAGTTCAAAAGGCATATCCAAAACTGAGCATCTGATCTCCCGTAACACTGCTTGCTCTTCCTATAATATTTCCCATGTCAATAAATGACAAAATCCATCCTCAGTTGCTTGGGCCAAAAGTTCTTGCATCATCATCATCAATTCTTCTACTTCTTTCATATCCTCTATCGAGTAAGTTAACAAAATCCATCAGATCTGCCTTTAAGATATGAGCAGAATATGACCAGTTGTATTTGCCAGGACAACTACCTGATACTCACCACCATAATTTCTGCCTTATTGCAAAAGCCTCATATCTGGCTCCCCTGCTTAACTATTCTGAAGTCAAATCCTGGTAAAGTATAAGTCAAAATTTCATTTCTATGCTCAAAATCCTGCAATACCTTTCCATTACACTCAGAGTAAAAGCCCAAGTCTTTAAAATGACCTAGGAGATTTCTTCTATTTCCCCTTGGCTTCTCCCAGCTTAAGCCTCTTTGGCTTTATTGTTGTTCTTCAAATATGCCAGGCAAGTTCCTGCTTTAGTGCCCTTGCAATGATTGTTCCCTTTCTTGAAATGTTTTTGTAGCAAAAATCTACATGTTTTATTCCCACATCTCCTTCAGGTCTTTCTTTACTCAAATACTACCTCCTCAGAGGCCTTCCCTGGCCCCCTAATGTAAAATGGTAGCCTCCTTTCCCACAACTGTCTCTTGCCTTCATCCCACACTTTTTCTCCTTAGTATTTACAGCCATCTAACATGCTATAAATTAAAATTATATATGTTTATGGTTTTAATTTATCCAAAAATGATGTAAAAACTATAAAGGCATGGAATTCTGTAAACATTGTTTACTGCTATACCTTCAGCCTGTAAAACCATACCTAGCATATAGTAGGGACTCAACAAATATCTCTTGAATCATTGAAATCTGTCATAGTCTAGAGGATTTTTTTTTAATAGGAACTTCACTCAGTCTGAGTAAAAGCCACTTTTCTTTTTTTCCCTAAAACCCTGAAATGGTGCTGGCATCCCCCTCAATGTATCAGGACATTAAAAGAAAAAGTTTTATCTGCCCCTCACACTGGCAGGTCACGTGCTCAGATTTACTGATCTCTAAGGGCACTTATGTACCCACTGTTTATTTATTTTGGAATTATTTTATTATCATCTTTACATGGTTATAAACTCTTGCCAGGATGGAATGCCCTCAGAGGACTGTTATTACTCATCCTTAGGATGCTCCCTGACCTGACCTTGAGAAATAACTGCAGCTCCTTACAGAAGCTGGAGATAATAAAATCATCCTTACTTGCTCTGAGCCAAAGAGATTTCTATCCAGCACCAACAACAGGCTGCTGTACCTCTCAAAAATCAGACCATTGCCCCCAGACCCCCCAAGAGGTACACCCTCTCTCGAATTAGGAGGGCCACTGGAATCAGTCACAGCCAGGTTGTCTTTGACGGTTTTGTTCATATGTGCATCTTTCTCATCTCACAACAAAAAACAAAGTAATAAACAAGCAAGCAAAAACATGATTCTTGCCTTCATTCTTTAAAAAAAGGGGAAAAAATTATTTAAATTATGGAAAGAAAATTATTCTACAGAAGCTTTCAAAAATAGAACAAGTTGCTCATAATCACACTATCCCAAGACAACCAACTTCTCCAATTTCGTGTTTTACCTTTCTGTCTTTTTACATATTTAAAATTAAATATTTTACTGTTGTAAGCTAAATGTACATGTAATTGCATATATTTTAAAGTAAATATTATAATCATTCATTTATCTGGTGGTTAACAAAAATTTAATGAACACGAACTATGAAGCATGTGCTCTTGCGGCTTAACATAACCAAGAATTAAACCTTGTCTTCAAGGGGCTCAGACCAGAGGTTTGCAATAATAATATAATGCAAGCCACATATGTAAGTTCAATTTTTCAAAGAAATGGGTAAAATTAATTTATTGATATATTTTGTCTAATCTAACATCTAAAATATTATCATTTTAAC